GAAAAAACAAAAACGCACACACGCAAAAAAAAAAAAAAAATTCAAAGATATACTGAAGAATACAAAAGAATGGATAAAATGAATGAATGAATAAATCAATAAATAAATAAATAAAAGTAATTTAAAAGAAAAAGAAAAGAAACAATAAAGGGGTCTCACAAAAACAACAACAATAATAATAATAATAACAATAATAATAACAGAGATGTGATGGTGATAATGACATACACTCACTCGCTCCTTCAAACAGAAACCCTCAAACCTTCAGAGTATTGGGAAATAGCAAAAAAAAAAAAAAAAAAAAAAAAAGAAATCGGCAGTAAATAAATAAATAAATAAATCAATCAAAAGAATACCATCACTAACAATAGTCGCAATAATCACAGATCTCATTTTCTCTCTCCTTTTCTCTTTTTCTCCTTTTCTCTCTTTCCCTCTGAGTGAGAGAGAGAGAGAAAGAGAAAGAATGAGATCTTTTTCCTTCTTTCCTCCCGTGTATAAGGAAGATTTAAATGAATAGGAAATACAGGAATAAATGGCAGAGCAGCACAAAGCAGACAGTGAAGATAATACACGATGCATACAGAGAAACTGGGGAAAAACACAAAAATAAATAAATAAAGGATAAGAAGAAAAATAAAAATACACTTATACATACAATAATAATAATAATAATAGTAATAGTAATAACAGTATATGTATATATTTACATGAATACAGATACACGCAGAGACCCCCCACCCCACCCCCTTCTTTCCTTCTCTTAGATAAAGGGATATATATATATATATATATATATAGAGAGAGAGAGAGAGAGAGATAGAGAGAGAGAGATAGAGATAGAGAGAGAGATAAAGAGATACTGTATATATTTCCTTTTTTTTTTTTTCTTCCCTTCTTTCCTTTTCATTTTCCTGCAATTTACTCTTAGTCGTATTGTTTTCTCTTTACTTCTCCATTTCACCACCTTGTGATTATCCACACATCAACCACAAGGACAGCAAGAAGAGAATAACAGAAATAATGACAGAGAAATACATACAACTTCCTTCAATCTCTCTCTCTCTCTCTCTCTCTCTCTCTTTCCTCATGTGTTTATTCTCATTTTAATTTTATTATTTTATTTATTTTCTGGGGGGTGCCACTTCTTTTTCTTTTTTTCTTTCTTTCTTTTCCTTCTTATTTTTTTTTTTTGTATTTTATATTTTCTCTTTTTCGAATAATAACGACCCCTTCACTTTGTCTTCTTGTTCCGCCCTCGTACTTTATATTTTCCCATCTGTTACTCACATTTCCCCAGCCTTGAGACCCCAAATGCACTCAACCAGGAGTCTTGCAGAATACCAGAAAAGAAGAAGACCAATTAAAAAACCAGACAACAACAACAACAAGAAAAGAAAAAAAAAGAAGAGAAATTTACATCATATTACATACATACACGAGTCACACTCATATACATATATATATATATATATATATATATATGTATAATGTAATATAATGTAAAAAAGGCTGTGAGTATTGTTCCTGTACACTGGTGTATATTGGTTTTGGCATTTACCCATTTAATCTTCTCTTTCATCCCCACCCCAACTCACAACTCCTGTCGCCGAGACTCTATTTCAGAAGAGAAAAACAAGTATAAACATACATATATATATACAGATATATAGATAGATAGATAGATAGATAAATAGATACATAGATATATATGTAGAGAAAAAAAAAAAACAACAACGGAAATAAAGATGGAAATGGACCCATATGGTCTTTTTTCTTCCTTTTTTGTTTAAAAATAAAACCATTCATGTTATTTATAAAAAGTTTCTGTTAAATAATAAGATTCTTATTTGTTTTTTTTTTATTTATATTATTTTATTTTTTTCGAATTCACGCATGATAACACAAACGCATAGGCGTATCTGTGGGAATTGCCCATAATAGACAACAACAAGAACAAAAAAAAAAAGAGCGACAAAAAAAAGACAAAAAAAAAGAAAAAAAAATGAAAAATAAGATATGAATAAATCAAAAAAATCAAAAGAAAAAAAACGAAAAAAAAAAGACAAAATAAACAAATCAAAATGGCAAAGTAATAATAATTGGACTTCTCTCAAGGAGAGAAATGAATACCAGTTTTTTTTTTAATTTTATTTTATGTTTTTTTATTTTTTTAAATTATTTTCTCTGATAAGGTTTGAGGGCAAACTTATGTACAATAAATATACACATGCATATACATGTATGTATATGAATAAAATAATTCCCCACATCTCCTACTCTGTGTTTGTCATTACTTTCCACCTTCCCCCTTTTTTTTTTTCTTTCTTCTTATTTCTTTATCTCTGTGTATCTCAATAATACAAAGTGATCAGAAACCAAATAGAAAAAAAAAAAAAAAGAAAAACAATGACAAACCCCAGATGATAATAATAATAATAATGATAATTATTATTATTATTAATATAATTATTGTTATTTTTCCCATAACTTTTTTCCTTTATGATCAAAGTCATCGTTCTTCACACTTCGTGTGTATATATTTGTGTTCATTTACCCTTTTTCCTCTCCAGCCTCTCTCTCTCTCTCTCTCTCTCTCTCTCACTCTCCATATGTGTCATCTCTTAAATGCCGAGAGAGAGAGAGAGAGAGAAAGAGGGAGGGAGATTCCTCTCCCCTGGTACTACGGCCAGTATCCAACCGCGGGTGTTGGCTGTGGATTTAGAAATCCAATTCTCCCGTCTGGCAGCAATACATAATTCGCAACTGCCTGTGTGCACATGGAGTCCACTATTGTCATCCCATTAAGTGCATTCGCAATGGATGTCATGTTAAAATTGTTCTGCGGTCCTACATTTGGCGAGGCCACAAATGCCGGGATTCCACCGTTATCAACTCCTCCATTAGTATTAGTATTAGGATTATTATTAGTATTATTATTATTATTATTATTATTATTATTATTATTATTATTATTAGGATTAGGATTAAGATTGTTAATATTAGGAGAGTTATTATTGATCACATTACCATTAACCATGGGTGAGGTTCCCACAACATGGGCCGGCTGCAGGGACTGCCCCGGGGCCGCCATCACCACATACGGCATTCCAATGGATTGCACAGGAACAGCTGTATTTGGATTGGGACTGCTGTGATACATTGGCACTAGTGTAGGGCCTGTGTGTGGCGTGAAGGTCTTACTGGTATCGTAGGGCTGCAGCAGCACTAGAGAAGATGGCTGTTGAGGAATAGCGAGAGTGCTGCTCATGTTATTATTGGGGGATGTGTTGACTTGCATAGCGGCAGCGGCGTGCAGAGGAATGGGAGAGAGAGTGGCGGGCGTTGGGGGTGGTGGGGGTGCGTGGGTGAAGTACGGTGAGGGCATGAGAGTATTCATCACCGCCTCTTGATACTGCGGCGGTGGGGGGAGCTGCGAGGGTAACATCATCATATTATTATTATTATTACTAATATTATTATTATTATTATTATTATGATTGTTGCTCTGCGCACGGTTATGCATAGTTCCTAGTCCGCGTTTTTTCCCATCTTCGCTCATGTGATTTGTTAGACTTTCTAATGTACTTCCATTTGTCTTGTGATCCTGCATGTCTATCCCATTCCCATTACAACCATTCATCATAACCCCATTAATACTATTATTATTATTATTATTATTATTATTATTATTATTATTATTACCATTACAATGCTCATTCCCCATTGTATTGGAATGACTGTGGTTGCTCCCACTTGTATTCCTATGCGTGCTGCTGCTATTATTGCTATTATTCCCCTCACTCTTCTTCTCCCGTCGGACCTTCACCGTGGTGAGAAACGGTCCACACAGGGGCGAGTCAAAGATCCTGTAGAGTTTCCCATCATGACTGTACTCCTGCGCGGGCGACCACAACGTCTCATTCTCCGACGGCGTCTCGCGGGCCCGCACGACTTCACTCAACAAAAGCGACAAGTGCCGCCGCACCCGCGCGGTGAACTCCACGCCGCCCATAAACGTCTCCAGCGCCGGACTCTGCGCCAGCCACCGTGTGAGGATCTGCTCCTTCCGCTGCAGCTGCGCATCGTCCAGCACAAACTGCTCCCACGACCCACGCACACTCGACGGCGCGAGCGTCTGGCCCATCCACAAAATGGTCCGCACCAACAAAGTGCCGGGCATCTCCATCCGCAGTCCACTCTCGCCGCTCGGCTGCACTTCATACGTGGAGAGGCGCGGCTTGTCGCTCTCCTCCCGCACATTTCCCACCGCCCACAGGAGAGCCGCCGTGTCGTGCAGGAACTTTAACGTGGGATAACTATTCCACGGCGTTGTGGTTATCAGCGGGAGTCGGGAGAGTCGACGTTGAAAGAGTTCCAAGGCGTCTTCAACAGGACGTTTGATTATCACGGCCCGACAGAATTCTTCTTTTAACATCATCGCGGCTAAGGTGACAACACGTTCCAAGGTACGGTCTCCAGCAGCTTTTAATACGGCCTTTCGTGCATAGAGATAGTCATCATCATCCATCTTATCTTCATACTTGTGACAACCAAAGTGACCAATGATGTTAATTCGTCTACCATAGAAAGAAAAACAATCCGATCCTTCTCTTCCATTCACGTAGACAAAACAAACCGCACATGGTACAGGCCGAAAAGTTGCCTCATCATCTGAAATCATCACCTCTGTGGAATCATAGAGTGTTTCATCAATCATATCCAGAAACTTATCTAACTTTTCCTCTGTATAGGATGCAGGTGGTAACTCCTTCATAGTACTCTCCGGATTTCGCATAAAGTTATATCGTACACTTGGATCATTTCGCATGCGAATATATTGCTGTCGCAACTCCTTGTTATCACTGTGGAAGTATCTATACACTAAAGGAATAAGACCAACCTCATGGGTTCCATAGCGGAGAGAATAGAAAGTAGGTGTAACGTCACGTGAAGGTAATCCACCCATAGTTTGATTACCCCTTTTTCTATTCGTGTAGATTAATAACCCTATATACCAATATATATATATATATATATATAATATAATATAATATAATATAAAGGTATGTATGTATGTAATCTCTTTCCTTGGAATGTACTTCTTCTTCTTGGACTCTTTGCTGTTGCTATGGTGATGGTTTAATACTTCTTCCTTTGTAGTTCTCTTTTCTTCTGTTCTCTTCTTTTCCACACCTTCTTTCCCCTTGTTTAGCAGAACGTCTGTTTCTTTTCTTTTTGCTGTTTCCTCCTTGAAATTCTGCTTTGATTCACTTGAAACAAGTGATATACTCAAATCCCCTAAATCCCGCGAGCTAAAAAAGAGCAACGAACACGCTATTGTTTTTTCTTTTTTCTGTTTTTCTTTTTTTCTGTAACAGCAAAAAAAAAAATAATAGAAAAAATAAATAAAGAACTAGATTGATCAATAATATATATATATATATATATATATATATATAGAAAAATATACCTGTCTATTTAGTTGGCTGTGTGAATGCCTGTGTGTATGTACGTTTCTTTGCCAGTAGTACCCTATGTTCGTAGACAGATGCGAACAAGAATAACTTCAAATAATAACAAAAAAAAAAGAAAAAAGAGAAAAGGAGAAATGAAAATGGCAATGATAACAAATAAACAAACTGTTCCAACTGCTACTGCTGGTCCCAACAAATAAAAATAAGTAAAATAAATAGTATTATTATTATTATTATTATTATTATTATTGTTATTATTATTATTATTATCTCTGGTCATCACATAGCCCCTGTGTTAGCCTCATTCATCCCGATTGATGGATTCCGCCCATCAATATCATTTTTTTTTTCTTTATCTAAAACTAAAAGTCTAAGCCATATGTACATCTACAGTGTGTTGCCCTATAATAAACCAAAGAGAGAGTGAAAAGCAAAAAAGAAAGAGAAAAAAGAAAAACAGTACAGATCGAATTGATTCGTTAATTTTCTCGATAATCTCAAGAAAAAAAAAAACAGACCCACAGAGAGACTATATATATATATATATATATATATATATATATATATATAAAGAAGGGAACTTTATTCATGAAAGAATGGTGAGCTGCGGGCAGACAAGGCCTCCCTCGCCCACATCCTCTTGTATTAACGCTTGAGAACAGAAAACAACACAAAAAAAAGAGAAACAAACGGATTACATACAAGCAGCCCATCACCTATACACACATAGAGACTACACTCATATCCATATATATATATCCATACATATATATATATATATGGATATTATAAAGAAAGAGTATAGGGAGTATGATGAAGCGCCAACCGAAACCACGCATGAGAGAAATTAAAAAAAAAAAAAGAATTAAAGAAGGGCACCAAATGCCAAAAAAGTATAAATAAAGAGACTAGGCGCACACATATATAAATATATATACTCTTATAATCATTTTCTTCACCTCATTTTTTCCTTTTTTTTTTTCTTTTTCGTTCTCACATCCACAGGAAAATGGGTCATATAGAGGGGGGGAAGAAAGGAGTGTGAAGTGTGAGACCCGTATATGTGCATGCATAAACTTAGTGTTCGTTCTCACCAGTAATTCTATTTATTTTAAATTATTTCAATATTATTTAATTAATTAATTATTTATTTAATTAATTCTTTTTCTCTCTTTTTTTTTCCTTTTTATACGCTTATTTTCCTTTCCTTGTCATCCTGAGAGAGACAACAGCAACTACAACAACAACAACAATAAGAAGAACAATAATAACCACAATCAGTAACAACACAGATCTTTTTTTTTTTTTTTCATTCTTTTTAGATTCTCTCTCTCCAGTCTACCTGCACATATCCCCTTCTTACTGATGCCAGGCTATATATATATATATATATATATATATATATATATATATATTTTTAATCCACTTCCCTTCTTTTCAACTTCACAGGGTCTTTTCTCTTTTTTTCCTTTGATTTCTTTTCATCACATTCTCATTCTCATTCTCTCTCTCTCTCTCTCTCTAAACGTATATATATAAATATACTCACATAATCATACAGGAGCCCAAACACCAATCAAATGAGAGCACAAATACAAGCACATAGAAGTATATATATATGAGTAAATGAATGAACCAAAAGGTTGGGGAAAACGATGAACGGGGAAAGGGAGTGGCCTTGTTATTGAGGCCAAAGAGCAACAACGAAAAAGAAAAGAAAAGAAAAGAAAAAAAAAACAATAATAATAATAATAATAATAATAATAATAATAATAACAACAACAATAATAATGAAATGAAATGAAAGAATACGTAAACAGACGAGGGGGTCATGAAAATACGGCTCGGCAATATTTCATTTCAATTGATCTAATCACTTTACTCTTACTTATTCTTCTTCTTTCTCCCTTTTTTCTTCTTCTCCTCCCCCCTGTCATTCCAATACCCTTTGTTTGGTTTGTGGAATGAAAGAGGAGTAGAGACCCGCACACAAAAAGAAAAAAAAAAAGAAGAAAAAGAACTGAAATATCGCCATTTTCCCTTTGGCGTATATATTCATAATAATAATAATAATAATAATAATAAAAGTCTCTTCTGCTCATTTTATTTTTCCGTTATTATTATTATTATTATTATTATTATTATTATTAATATTATTAATAGTAGTAGTAGTAGTAGTAGTAGTAGTATTCCTATTACTTTTAGGAAGAAAGAATAGATTCACACTTCTCTTTCCTTATTCATACACCTTTATTTTTTTCTTCTTTACTCTCCTTATTCATTAGACTCCTTTTCTCTCTCTCTCTCTCTTCTTCTTTTTCTTTTTTCTTCTTTTTATATTCCTCTTTAAATATGTCTCCATTACTTTTCTTTTCGTTCCTTTCTTTTCTTTTTTAAACTTTGTTGTCTCTTCTTTCCCTATTCCCGGCCATACAGATAGATGAGAGAGAGTGAGAGTGACTGCAGGGTTCATTCATCTGCCTTCTTTGATCGATGCCACTTTCCCTTTCTCTCTCTCTCTCTCTCGTGTTGAATACTTAAATAATAATAATAATAATAATAATAATAATAATAACAGTAACTTAATAATAATCATAATAGAAACGATGATAGAGTATCCTGTTTCCTTTTTCTTTCATTCATTCTTTTTTTTTTTTTTCTTTCTTCTTCTTCGAAATCAAACGAAAATTATGTTCTTCTTCTTCTTTTCCTTCTTGGTTTTATTTTTCATTTTTTATTTTTATTATTTTTCGTTTCATTATTTACTTTCGTGTTTGTTATTCTTCCTTCTCCTCCTCACTACCGCTGCTGCTGCTGCTGCTGTTCACACACGGACTGCAGTTCTCTTCTCACCTCAACATCACTCCCTTCTTTCTTTTTTTTTTTCTTTTATTTCCTCATCCAGACATATAAATATAAATATACATACATAGATAGATAGATACATACATACTTTCTCTCTCTCTCTCTCTCTCTCTCTTTTTTTCTCTCTATTCACAAATAGAGAGGGAAAATAAATAGATAAAAAGAGAGATAAAGAGAGAGAAAGAAAAAGAGAGTACACATCCATCCATGTTTAGTCGCCTCCATTTACCGTGTTAATAAGAAATGAACCGCATTAATAGTAATAGTCATAGAAAGTAGTGGGTGTAAGAGTAACAAACAAACAATCAATCAAAGGAAACATTCATTCAAACACAAAGAGAAAAATTGTGTTGAAAGAGCGAAACCCACCATTTCTTATTTTTTTTTTCTTTTCTTTTCTCTTTTCTTTTTTCATTTTTTTTCTTTTCTTCGCACATCCTCCGTGAGATATCCACGTGATGTGAACAGAAGTGAATACATCCAGCAACAACAACAAAGAACATCATCATCATCATCAACAAGAAGATAAAAAAAAAAAACATTGATTAAAAAACAAGAAATCTAACGACAGCAATAAGAATAGTTTTATACAGCGTTTTTATTTCGTTTTTTATTTATTTTTTATACTTTCTATTTTTTTTTTTCTTAAATATATATATATATATATATATATCTTTTTTTTTAAAAATCCATTCCTTTGATTAACCCATTTTTTTTTTTTTTTTTATATTCTTTCTTTGCATAGTGAATTATTTTAGTCTGCCGTCGCCTTTTGCTTAACTTTCTTCTTCTTTTTCTTTCTTCTATTATTGATGCTGCTGCTGGTTTTTCCATCGGTGTAGGCTCATATATATATATATATATATATATACTACCCACTACTTACTCACCCACCCATAAATAGATAGATAGATAGATCTATTTACGTATTCTTACTGAGCCCAGAAATGACTAGCGGTGGCATCAGAAGCCTCAGCAATCAGCAGCGGCCACGTACACAAACGCAGAGAAAAAGATATATAAAAAAAAAAAACTCCAACAATGCAGACAACAACAACACCCAAAAACAACAACATCATCAAAACAAAACAAAAGGGAAAAAAACAAACAAATAAAAAGCATTTAATACAAGTCGAAAGTAAAATATCAAAATAAACAGATCAAGAGAAACAAAAACGAAAAGAAGAAAAAACAAAAAACAAAAAACCATTTCCCCTCTTTTTTTTTTATAAAAAAAAAAAAAAGCACAAGTTTCCTCCCCAGAAAAACCACAGAAAACAACAATACAACGACCATCATTTCTCTCTTCCCATCCTCAGAGCGTACACAAAAATAGAATACGTCTGCCCAGATACGCACATTATATTATTAATATAAGCAGAGGAAAGGGAATAGACAAGAGATGGGGAAGGGAATAAAAACCAGATATCAGTTTGAAATTCAGGAGTCCAAGTACCGAAGCGAAAGAAAGAAAAACAAAAGGGGAAAAACAAAGAAAAAAAAAAACAAACAAACCATAAAGCAAAGTAATTTTGCGATGAACAAAAACAAACAAACAAACAAAGGAACACCAGAGTGCCATTTAAAACAAAGAAAAATTAAATCATGGTCACATGAAAGGATGCTCTCTTTAAAAAAAAATGATATGCACTAGCCTAAGACATGCGGAAGAGTAATAAAAAAAAAAAAAAAAAGAAAAGAGAAATAGAGAGTACAAAATGGGAAAAGTATGGGAATATATGAGGGAGAAAATACGAAGGAACAAAAATAAAACAATTGAAGAAGATTCTATAGATATATTATTCATTCGTTTCTTCTCTTTTTTTTTTCCTTTTCTTTCTTCTTTTCATCTTATTATATCGAGTCCAGTTTTAGTTCAGACGGGTGTGAGTCCTGCAGAAAAACCTTCGGGCAATGTGACTACACCTCTATTCTTTTCCTTTTCTTACTTCTTCTTTTGTTCTTGTTGTTGTTGTTGGTGGTGGTGAAGCTGATATTATTATGATTTCCACATCACTTGGCATACCCTCATACATACATACAAGCACCCATCCGCAAACTTTTTTCCACTCTTGTATGCAGGATTTGTATGTGCTTATGTATACATTTTCCTTCCTCCTACTCGAAAGCAATGTGATGTAAGCGACACCACCTTATCCACCTTCCCAAGTAATCTCCTCCCTCTACACTCCCTCTGCTCATCTTTTCCTCCTTTTTTTTTCACATTTGAAACCAATTAGAAAGGAAAAGGGAAATGTATATCCATCGTTTCCCTCACCCCTTTCTATTTCATATTGATTTCAAGTTATCTCATTCTCTCCGTGTGTGGATACAGTTCTCTTTCTTTTTCTTTCTCTCTCATTATGACTAGTACTATTGTTGCTGCTGCTGCTGCTGCTGTTGTTGCGGTTGCTGTTGCTGTTGCGGCGGTGGTGGTGGTGGCAGTGGTGGTTGCTGATACATGTACGGCTGATACGAAACCGCATACGTCGCTGGCGCCGCATAATACACCTGCGGCATGCCAGTTTGTGGATAGGCAGCAAGAGGCGCGCCTCCTCCAGCAACCGCTGCTGTTGCTGTGGTAGCTGTTGTTGTGGTTGTGTTTGCGGTTGTGTTTGTTGTTGTTGTTGTTGCTGGAGCTGCTCCTGCTGTTGCTGTTGCCTGCGGCTGTGCTGGTGGAGGAGGAGGTGGCGGTGGAGCTGCGGCCTGCGCCAATTGCCCGCCTGGCAGGACGTAGACAATCTGCTGCTGCTGCGGGGCGGCGGCCATCACGCCGTAGGGCCCGGCGGCGGAGGGCACAATGTGCATGCCGCCCGGGGCGACGAAGGCCGATCCGCCCTGCGGGGCCGCGTAAAATATCTGCGGCCGCCCGCCGGGGACGACGAAGGACGGCGGCGGGTTCATCACGGACGCCATTGGCGCGGCGGCGGGGTTGAACGGCACGACGCCGGCGGGCCAACTCGGCGGGGCGCCCAACACCATCGACATCTGCGGCCAAAACCCGCCGAGGCCGACCCCCACCCCGCCGGGCACCGCCGGGCCAACGCCAACACCCGCGGGAACCGCCGTCGCCGGGCCGCCGGGGAACATCATCGCCGGGGCCGCCGCCGGGTGCTGCATTTGTTGGTGGAGAAGCGACTGCGATCCCGCCACCAGCCACTGCTTGAGGGCAACAGAGAGTAAGGCACCGCCAAAGAGGCGTTCATCATCTTCCTCCTCCTCCAGAAAGGCTCCACTGTCTTGTCGTTCCTGCATTAGGCGATAACGTTCCTGCAGTAGATCCGAAGTCACACAACGAACATAATAACCATTTACAGAGTCGACAGTCATTTTCTTTTCAACAAATCGCATCCAGCGAGCTAGAAATTTATTACTGAATGTTACCTCCATTCCATACTCACCATAATTATTTTCATATAAGGAAAAGTGTGTGGGTGGAACTTTATGCATTTCAAGTTCTTTTATCATATCTAAAAGTGTATAGTGAGAATAGAATATACGTAAGTCACGGTAAACATCATGACGTAGTACAAGTCGCAACTGTAAACGTTCCATCTGACGGTCAAATGCAACCTCCACATCATTATCACCCACAGGAAAGTAAAGAGCACAGCTATCTACAAATTGTTTGCGAAATGCAAAGGATGCTAATAACACCACAGACTCTGTTAAGTAACCGTGTGCTTCCACGTCATCAAAGATTACATCTAAAACAACAGGGTATGTTGGCTGTTTAGAATCTCCAGATGAAGAAGCTCCCATGGTACCAGCGGGTGCAGAAGAAGAAGAACCCGAATTGCTACCTCCACCATTAAGGGCGTGTAACTTTGGAGAATTTGAAGTGTTGATTTGCGACATTTGTCTATCCATACAGCAAGAAACAAATCCCACAAGATGTAGACGTCTACCCTTGATAAGAACTGTATGGTTATTTTGCGCTTGATGTTGTTGTTGTTGTTGTTGCTTGCTTGAAGAATTCTGTTGATTAGATGTGGATGTGTTAGACTCCGTACTTGAGTTATCTGGCTCTAAAATACACACCGCAAAAGGTACTGGACGCATAAGAGATGGTGTAGAATGATGAGATGCGTGGTGTGAACCAGAATGTTGTTGTTGTTGCTGGGAAGTTGCTGTTTCCGTTCCGGAATTTGCTGCAGATGTTGATGTAGATCCCGTATTACCTCCTTTCTCTTTCATATGAGGTTTTTGTTGTTGTTGATGATCATGTGCGCCATCTTTCTTTCCCACAGCCACTTTGGTGTTCACAAAGAAAAAAGACTCTGTACAGGACATTATGTAATCCACCAATGCGGTACCTCCTGCCTGATCCTGCCGCTTGGCGGCATTCGCCGTTGTGCTTCCACTTCCATTTCCACCTGATGCTGCTGTTGGTGTGCCAGCCGTGTTGCTATTCGCTGCGGCTACTCCTGACGCTGTTGGTGACAGGTGTGATAACTTACGCATAAGGAGGTCGCTGAGCTTCCTCTTGAGTTTCTTATGCCCGTCATTAAAGAAGCGAGGTAGTAGTGGCACGAGACAAATCTCTACGCGGGTTTCTGTTGTGGGCCGTGTGACCAGTGTTGTGTACAGCAACTCAGGGGCATCGTGAGATGGGAACGCGCCCATCGCCTTCAATTACTTTACTTCCTTTCCTTTGTGTATGTATATGTGCACGAATACAAGTATGTACAAATATATATATTTTTTATATTTATACTTGTATATGTATTTTTTGTTTTTTCTTTTCTTTTTAATTCAATTTTTTTTTTTCTTCTCTTGGTCTTTGTTTTCTCAGGTATTTATATTACCCCTGGCTACAGCTTGCTGCGTTTTTTTTTTTCTTTTTTTTTTCACTTATATATAAATATATATATAGATATCCCTGGATTTGTATATTATTTGCGTGTGCGAGTGCTTGTATTTAAGTCTTTGTATGTATAATTGTTTTTTTTTTTTGATATAAATGGGAGACAAAGATCTCCCCCCTTTTTCACCCAACAGCGAAAATACCCCTCGCGCCTTCCCTGTTTTTTTTTTTTTTTTAGGTTCTTTTAATTTTTTTTTTTGTGTTTGGTATTTCGTTTCTTTTTGTTATGGTTTTTTTTTTTTTTGTTCTTTGAGTTCTTTTAATAAATATATATAAATATATTTATTTTTTTTTTCTTTTGGGTATGGTTTCTTTTTATTTGTTTTTTTTTTTGTGTTTGTGTCCCTCGCCCTTCTTTCTTTTTGTTTTTTTTTTAATAATTTTCTTCACCTATCCCCAATCCCCCAAAATAACCCTTCTTGGTTGTTGTTTTTTTTTCCTCTTGGGCTTAAATTGCTTGTGCTTACACAAATATATATATGTATAGAAATATATATATTTGTATATTAATTAGACCCTTTATATCAAAAAAAAAATATATATATATGAGTGAGACACCATCACGGGAGAAAAAAAAAGGAAGAGAGAGAGAGAAAAAAAAAAAGGAGAAGAAAAAGAAAACAAAAGATCGTAAGAAACAATTTTAGCATAGAAGTATACATTTATATATCCGCAAGAAGACAAAACGGCAGAAGAAAGGAATACTGTACAAAAGAAAAAAAAAAGAAATAACAGTCGATACAACTGAAGGAAAAACAGAGAACCTCTGATAAATAACGTATCGTATTTTCGATGACCAGTGTATCATGCAACGAAAATAGGAAATAATATAAAAAAAAAAAAGTAAAAATAATAATAATAATAATAATAATAATAATAATAATAATAATAATAATAATAATAATAAGAGGAGGAAGAAAAACGTCTTGATCACCCTCCACACATACATGCATGCATGCACAGATACATGGATACATCTATGTATATACATAACAGTCAATAAAGGCACATATACACTCCAACACTCCTTCCTCTACCCCTTTCTCTACCTTTAACAATTACAAAAGGAAAAAAAAAAACCATAGAATATATATATAACGGTTCATTTCCAGAAGGAGGCATCCTTGCGGAGACGCACGAGCACGCGTTCCCGCCAGCGGTTGACAAATGAGGCCGGAAGGTACACCGTCTCCTCTGACTGCGGATCATTCGAGTCCGCCGAGAGCACACGGCCGTAGGAGGAGACAAAGTTGTAGAGATCCTCCACGATCCGCTCCGCAATGGCCAGCCGCGTGGCCGCCCGCTCCTCCTGCTGCTCGCCGGCGATGTTCGCGACGTCCTCCACCCGCTCGCTGCTCACGCCGAGCACCACCCGCACCGGCGCGTCCACGTTGAGGAAGACCGACGGCACCGGCAGCACCGCACTCGGCCGCTCCTGCGAGAGATGGCCAATGTGCACAAAGGCCCCGTCGTCCTCGCGGGCGAGATAGACGGCCAGCGCCATGCCGGGCGGCAGCGGGGAGGCGCCGAATGTGAGAAAGACAACAATCGACGACGGCGCCTCGCCCAGCGGGGCAACCCACCGCACACCGTCGAGGCACTGAAACTCCGTCATGACTGGACGGCCGGGGAGTACAACCGCAAAGGGCGGCGGAGGAATAGCGGCAGGAGGAACAGGAGGAACAGCGGCAGGTACACCCACAGCGGTGGGAACTGCCATAGAGGCATCCATAGTAGGATTCACCGGCATCTGCATAGTAGGATTCATCGGCATCTGCATAGTAGGATCCATCTGCATCTGCATCTGCATCTATCTATCTATCTATATATATATATATATATATATATATATATATGTGTGAAAATAGAGAAAGGAAATGAAAAAGGGAACCACTATGTGAACCTTCCCTCTAACTATGTTCTACCCCTCTTTTTTTCTTTCTTCGTAAACACCACTCTCTACGAAATCCTTATTTTTGATCTTCAGATTCAAGAACGCCTTACTTCTTCTTCTCTTTCTGGTATTAATTTTTTTTTTCTCGCCGTGTATTTCGCCTTAGCAAGTCCAAACAAAAATAATGATAGAAAAAATAGAGCAAAAATAAAGAAATCCAAGCAGAACTATATCAATATATCAATAAACAGTTGTTTATTCTTATTCTTATATACATATATTCATTTTGTGTATGTGTGGAAAACATACTCTGAAAAAGCGAGAAAGGAGGAAGGAATACAGAAGAACAGAATGAAAACTCCTTCCATGAGAGGGGAAAAAAAACACCATTCCAATAATAGAACAAGGCAACACAGCAAAAGATGAATGTGAAAGAAATACAGTGAAAACACCACCGTTTAATATATTCTCAATCAACCTACAAATCATCAAATTGACCAATAACTACACCTTGTTTGTATTGCTATCACTAGTACTGGCGTTATGATCATTATCACTACTACCTTCCCAAGTCCAGGCTACATTTAAAGCCCCACTCTCCGTTACATAAGGCTTTTCTCGCACATATGAAGGGTCAAACTGTTGAATTTGGGCCACATTTGAAATAAGTGTGGCTTGTAAAGCCTGAATTTTCTCATCACGTGCCGCCATTCGCCGTTCCTGCTCTTCACGGCGCTGTTTCTCAGCTTCCATATACTCAACGGACTCCTGCTCTTTTTTTCGAACTTCTTCTGCTCGAACCATCTCCTGCACTTCCTTTACACGGCTCTGATGTATATAATAGTAGTAAAGATTATTAGTTTGATTTTTTTCTGCATAAACCCAACGTTGTAATTTCGCTATTTTTAAAACCAGTCGTAGATGTTTGGCAGAATCAAGTGGGACATCATCATGTTCTTTACAAACGGCCCACAAATCAACTAGTCTAACGGGTTGGTGAAAAAATAATAACTTTAAAACATAATTGCGTGGAATTTCACCCAAATCACGTGGAATCGCTTTAATGTTATTCTGCACAAGTGGCTTCTTAAAGAGTTCACGTATGTTTGAATTAAACCCACGGTGGTTGGCGAGCCGCATCATCGTTACTTCACTGCGGTAAGGCACAGTGAGACGGTACTCCTTTCCTGGTCTAAGCCCTTGTGGGCCCTTGGGGCGATTCAAACAAAATAAAGTACGCCGCAGCATGATTGGTATTTACCTTTCTACTATTCCTACTACTACTGCTGCTGCTTCTATTGATATTTATTACAAAGAAGAAGAGAGAAAGAATCAAAAAGAGAAACCGACACATACATCAACAACAACAAGATATATGCATTCCGTGAATACGAATGTATATGTACGTGTACCTGCAGTCATAAGAGGGAGAACGAACAAAAAAAAAAAAAAAAAGAAAAAAATAGTATGTTTAAGGAATAAAAACAATAATAATAAAAAAAAAAGAAGTACATGAAACAATTTTCATATTTCTTTATATATAAGAAATATGAAAAGGAATGGGCGGGCACCGCAGCAGGAGCACGCACACAAGAGTCAAAATAACAACAACAACAACCACAGTGAGAGCAATAACAATGAGAGCGTGAAAAATGAGCACATAGAGAAGCACCAATAATAACAAGAGAATGTCTCGCTTAAAGCAAAATAAACAAACGGGGGAAAAAGGTAAACACCACCCTTTCTTAATCCACGCGCACACATCTCTATCATGGAGGATAACAAAACCAGCACGCACACACATTACAAAAACAAAAACAAAGAAAAAAAAAAAAACACAAAAAGAAAAGACACAAGAGTATTCCACGTTTACTTTCCTATTAATATGGCATAGTTTAAACTTCATTCATTTTGAAATGATAAATAATACCACATATACAATAGGAAACTCTACAAGAAAAATTATTCTCAATATAGATGAGATTAAATACCAACCTGTTTTTCTTTAAATAAGTATCTACAAGAACCTACATATGTGTATCTCTCTTTCTTTCTCTTTCTCTTTCTCTCTCAGTCTCTCTGTGTGTGTGTGTATGTGTGTGTGTGTCTATACATGCGTGTATTTATGTGTTGCCCCCTGTTATATGCTTTCTTCTTTCCACAAAATTTCTACTTCTTTTTTTTTTTTATTATTATTTCTATCCTTCTCACTCTCTCTCCCCCTTCTATTTTCTCATTCTTTCTTTCTTCTCAACCTCTTTTGTCTATCATCTTTCTTTTCTCTCCTTCGCTTCTATCATCCATCTGAACCTCACTTATTTCCTCCATCCTGTGAAGCAGCAAAGCGTACATCCGCATCTGCATCTTTACGTAATCTAGTTAACAGCGGTTCTGCATCACTGTCGAGCAGTAACTTCGCCCTCTTAAGAGCCACCAAAGCCTTGGCACAGTTAAGCCGCACATTCGCAACATTATCCTGTGCAAGTACGCGAAGCATTGGAAGCACCGACTGCGATACGGTGGAACGATCGAGTGAAGAAATACCGGCAAGCGACTCGTAGAAGTGTGCGAGGACCACGCGGTGTAAGTAGTTGCTTGCGGTGGCCATAGCACTAAGCCGTGGGAAAAGTGAGGTGCGAGACCACGCGGCCCCGCTTTCAAGTACCAACTTGCAGCAGGAAGCCACTGCGGCCTCGCGAATTGTAGCCACGCGGTCCACTAGATGATTCACACAGAGTTCCACCACATCATCTGCGTTTTTGCCTAATGATGTAATGAGAAATGGAATCTGTGAAATAACAACTTCACGGATCCGCCACTTTGGGTCCTCTGCGAGGGCAACCACCACAGGCACAAGTTTAGGTGCCATCTCACGTGCCTCTGGCGTGTTTCCCATCGAACTAAAACCAGACACCAACGCGAGACGCACATCCGCCTCATTGTCTTTTAATAATTGCGTGCATGTTGGCACAATGTTACTTCCCCATAATTCCTTCGGTACATGCACAACAGACTGTAAAACCGCACTCGCAAGACACATACGAACATGAGCGCTTTCATCATTTACAAGTCGACAACCAGCCAATAATACTTCTTTTTTTGCAGCAGCATCTCGACAAGCAGGTAAGACACCAGACATGCTGAAAACAGCAGAGGCACGTATTTCCGCCTCAGCATCTTGGGTAAGAGAACGAAAGAGTGGAACTATTTGTTTTACATCTGTTGGTGCCATCACACTAGCCAATTTACCAAGTCGATCAGCTGCCATATACCGTACACGCCAAGAATTATCACTTACTAGAGTTTTTACAGCTGCAAGTACAGAGGCATGGGTTTCGTGTGGTAGTACTTTAAGAAGGGCAGCCGCAGATTCCACCGCTTGCAAACGTACTCCATCACTCATATCATGTGAAAGAGCTGTTAACGCGGTAATTAATTCCGCATTCCGATTTCCAAGCACTTCTGCCATGTGTTTCCCTAGTGAAATACAAGCCGCACGACGTACCATTATTTCCTCATCCTCACAGAGAGCCACGAAGAGCCGCATTAACTGCCCTTTTACCACAGAAGAAACAAAAGGGTATGGAGTGGCAATAAGATATGATGCGCTTGAACGGCATTGCGGAGTTGCTTTCCCAAGTCGTAGTACCAACTCCACAAAAGACTTCTGCGCTTGTGAGGCACTATCACCTGTTTCACGAAATATTAATCCGCCAATAGTCTGTAGTGAAGTAACCGCCTCATCCCGCACCGTAATCTCATCCAAGCTACTCAGCAATTCCAGTGGTCCAAGAATACTTTGAGCATGTCCAACTCCACCTACCTCCTGCAGCATCGTACCCAGTGCGTTCGCAAATACACGCAACACCTCATCATTCTCATCAAGATAGTCCGTTAGGTACGGTAGCAACTCATCACGTGTACGCTCAGGACCAAGAGTGGAGGCAATGAGATGAATACCACGCATACTATTCAACCGTTCCTCTGGGTCATCTGAACGCAGGTTTGCGATCATTGACTTTACAGAGTCAAAATGCTCCGTCATTTTTTTTTCTTTCTGTAAATACTAAAGTAAAAATATAAAAATATTAGTAGTCGTAATGACAATACAGTTATATTTTTTCTTGGGTTTTTTTTTTCTTCTTCTCTTTCTAGAGTAAAGTTGTTCCCAAGAAATCCTTTTTTTTATTATTATTTTTACTTCCGTTTGTTCAACTTCTGTTTTCTTCCTTTTCCCCCTTTTTGTTCTTTCTTCTCCTTTGCCACTGTGAGTTGTTTAGTATGCGCAGAAGTATAGTATGTATAAAGAGATCCTCTCTTACTGGCTATGCCTTTTCCCCCCTTCTTTTTCTATAGAGTAATAAGTGTATAATAATGTAAAAACTGGTCCCTTTTCGTATCTGTAAAAACTGGTCCCTTTTCGTATCTAATAGCGTTAATACAGAACTTTCACGTATGGGCACGAACACACTGTGAAGATGTACGAAAAATAAAAAGAGGAAACAAAGAAAAACCAGACAAAAAATGAATAAACAAATGATAAGAGTTTAACAGGGAAAGGTGATTATATCTAATAGATTACATTTGCATATTGATTAGAAAATAATAATAATAATAATAATAATAATAATAATTAATACAAAAACTTGCTCTCACTTGTTGTTGAGCCTTTATTACTTTTTTTTTCTTTTCTTTCATTCTTTTTCCTCTTTTCATTTTGCTTCTGCTTTCGCATACTCATCAAATTGTCATGATGCATTAAACGGTTTGTATGTATATATATGTATATATATGTATGTATGTAAGTATCAATGTCTGTGCATGTGTGTACTCGTGTTTTTTTTTCTTTTTTTTTTTTTTGTTCTTCTCTCTTCTCTTTTTTTTTGTTTTCTTCCTTTAAAATAATCTCTCATTCCAGCCTCCACAGAGTCACTTGTGCACATATACACACTCTCAATCTCTTCCTTCTTCTTTTCCCTCCTCAGTATTCTTAAACGATTCCTATGCCTCCTCTTCCCCTTCCTTTTCTTCCACTGCTGCAGTGCTTGTAGTAGTAGTAGTTGTAGTAGTAGTGGGTGCGGTGTTTCCAACAGATGCATGGATCTTCGCCTCCACGTAACTTCTCGCGCGAGTGCGGACCTTCTCCACATCTGCCGGTGTGCCGTAAACCCGCTCAAAGGCCATAAAGCGTGTGAGGAACTGCTGCATAACGCGTGCGGGGAAGTTACTGGCGACGGCACGTTCGAGTAATCCACGAACAAATGGTACCGCGGCGTCTGGCTCACGTCTGGCGAGACGTGAAGTTTCCTGATCAATGTAGACTGCCCACACATCCGACTTCTTCGGGGCACGTGCGAGGAGGGCGTCCAGTAGTGCGCGGGCGGTGGTGGGATCTCCGCGGCGGTAGGCGTGAAGGGCGATGTGCACCACCGCTCGTGCGTACTCATCCCGTGGGAGTGCCGCTGACATCTCCCGCAATACCCGCTTGAGTTGTTGGGATGTGGATCCTCCCGCTGCTGCTGCTGCTCCTGAGGAGGATGAGGTGGATGATGACGATGTTGTTGTTGTTGTTGTTCCCTGTGATGTTATTGATTGATCGAGGAGTGTAGTGGCGAGTCTCTCCCATGCGGTTCTGTCGCTGCGGAACTTCGAGACGATGGCGCGGCAGAGGGCGAGCAGCGGGCCGGTGCGGCGGGAGGCGGCGTAAATGTCGGCGAGGCGGTCGTACACCACCCGCTCCTCCGCGGCCCGCCGCACCGCCCGCTGAAACACCGCCGCCAGCGACTCGGGGGTGCCGTGGAGGTTCTCGAGGTTCATGTACGCCACCCACACATTCAGCAGCTCCTGCGACTCCCGCACCCCAATCGTGCGGAGGGCCTTCTCCGCGACCAGGCGGCCCTCCTCATATTGCTGCAGTCCAACGTGGTGGGCCATCCACTGCACCCAGAGATAACTGTTGTTCGGGGAGGCAAGCAGCAGGCGCTGGAACTCATCCGGCGAGGACGGCACCGTCGTCTCCATCGATCGCTCATACGCATCAATCGCCTCCTCCAGTTTACGCTTACGCATCTTACCTTCACCAACACCATCCCGCGTACGACCCGCCCCACCCTCATCTTCACTGTCGTCCGTATCACTCTCAGGGTGTTGATGCTGGCGCTTGCGATCACGCCAAGGGAAATTACCAATAAGTCCAGTCATTACTGCTTTCGTTCCTATCTTCGTTGCTGCTGCCGTTGTTGGAACGGTTCGTGCTAGTGAAAGAGATACACTACGTACAGCAGGAAGTGTGGAAAACGTGCGGCGACTAGACAGCACGAGGAATGGAAGGACTTCCTGTAGCATCTGTTCCTCTGGTACAAACTCCACCGTTAGCTGTAAACAACTCCCCACCACAGGTGGTTCTCCACTCTTGGCAGCACCACCCCATTGGTAAATATAATAACCAAGTAAACTGCTCTCACCACATGGTACCTCAACAATGGCAGAATGATCATCTGTGCATGATAACAGTACAGTGCAGGAAACCACACTGCCGGGTCGTACACTTGATAAAAGTGATTGCAGAGCAACCATATCACTCGGTGTACGTTCCACCACTTCAGTCCGTGCTGTAACATTAGCAACATTGGTGTTTACATCATAATTAAGTAGTCGTACTTCCACTGATCCCGCATCGGCAGGAATATTTTCAAGCGCAGCCACAGCAGCCATACCACCTGCAAGTGAAAGTACAGCTCCACGCTCCGGAGTGGACTTCACCACACATGCCATGGTAGTGGTTCCTAAGCCCAAAAGAACATGTTTTCGAAATAACTGCGGTAACAGTGCCGCTACTGGAGATGCATACGTTACCACATCACTCCACAACTCTCGCAGTTGTACGCTAAGAAGACGGTACTGTTGCTCATCCCGTGTGGGTCGTGCCACCGCACGCACATGTTCTCGCGATGCGAGTCGCTTAAAGAGTCTTTCCGCAAGCGCATCACCGCCTAATGTCTCACGTGTTATTTTTCCAAACCCGCCGTTTCCAGGTAGTTGCACAACGATACCGTCAGCGGCCGCGTGATGTACGCGGTAGTCTCGAAACAGCATGGTAGAATACTCAAGCACACACAGACAGACACACTCAATCTTTCTCTTTTTGTTGACCTTTCTCTTCTTTTTTCTTTACTTTTTTTTTTTTTTCAAATTCTTCCCTGCTACTGCTGCTTGTGACTAAAATAAACTTCGAAAGAACGAAAGAAAGAAAGGAAAAAAAAATAATAATCCATATGGTTCAGGAAAACTAGAAGAAAACCAGATAAGAGAATATATATATATATATATATATCATCATCTCTTGTTTGAGGGTAAAGAAGATATTTTTATATTCCTCGTATATAGAATAACAGATAGATACACACACACACACAGACAGACAGTATAAGGTACGGCACGAACTGAATAATAAAGAAAAAGAAAAAAAAAACCAGCATTGAGAAACAACTATTGACCTTTTTTTGTTTCACCCCTTTCTTTTTCCCTTTTTTCTCTTTCCTCTGCCTACACACAATAACACAGCTAGTGAAAACAAAGGAAAAGAAGCAACAACAACAACAACAAGACGTATAAAAGTTGATAAGAAGAGTCTCAAGCTAACTGTACAAACAGAAAACACCGCAAAAAAAAAAAAAAAAAAGAAATCTGGAAAGTTTAAAAAAAGAAAAAGATAATAAAAAGAAGAGAGGATATGTAGAAAGAAGAAAGAAAAAAAAAAAAGAAAAAAGAAAGAGAGAGTCTTTGAATACGAGAGACACTATCTGGAAATACATAAAGACACACATACACACACAGATGTATCTTTACTATTGAGCAACACAAATAGAACAATCAAATAAAACGAATTCAATTGTTTCCTAAATTAAATAATGTTAATAGCTGAAGAGGGAAAGATAAAGAGAAAAACGAATGACATGCCAAACACTGTCAACGTTCAAAAAAAGCAAAAAAAGCATATGATTTTCTTCTTTAAAAAAGAAAAAAGAAAATCCGTTCATCTTCTCAGTCTTTACGTTTCCTTTCATTTCATCTACCCATTTTTTATTTTTTTTTTTTATTTTCTTTGTTGCAGCCTTTCTGTTTGAGAAAGAAAACGATGCAAGCAAAGAAAAACAAACAGGAATTATTTTAAAAGAAAAATGATAAAGTGATAACTTAAAAAAAAAACATGAGAGGTCCTCTATTTATTCCTTTCTTCTTCTTCTTATTATTATTATTATTATTATTGATTGTGTGTTTACATATGAGATAATTCTCACGAAAGTATACGAAGAAAGAGAAAAAAAAAAAGAGAATTTCTTCCTCATTGTTAAGGCACATCATATATTTCTACGCAGACATGCCAAACATTAACATGAGAGATCGCAAAAAGAGAAAACAAAGAGAAATAATAATAATAATAATAATAATAATAATAATAAAGAACAAGTCAAAGGTAAAAGTCTACATTACCAAAGACAATGGGAAAAGCAAAAAAAGCAATAAGAAACACATAGAGTGAAGAAGAAAAAGAAAAAAATGGATATATATATCCACAATAACAAACAATAGTAGTAATAAACACTTAGATTTACCAATCTACCACTTTGTCCCTCTTATTTCTTTTCACTTCTCCTTTTGGTTTCTCCTGCAGAGGCATGTCTATCTTATTCTCCATAAAAATATAATTATTATACGCGTTCTCTCTTTTTGTCTCTCTCCCTCTCTTTGTATTTCTCTTTCTCTTTCTCTTTCTATCTCTATCAATCTATCTCTTTATTTCTTTCCTCTCCTTATTTCTCCCTTTCTCCCCCTCTCTATCTACCTACATACCTGTATGTATGTATGTCTGATTCTTTGTTTATCCACATCACTGTCTGTACAAGAAATACACATAGTCAACGCATATAACATGTATATATATATATATATATATATATAGAAATAGAGAAAGAGAAAGAAAACAAAAAAAGGCAAAAACAAAAAACAAGAAAAAAGACACATACTTTATCGCTCTTCTTTCCTTTCCTTGTAACCACCACCACCTCCTCTGATGGATTTCACGAGAATACCATGACTGAGAGAAGTCGGCGAATTCATATCGTGCGGGGCCACAGACGATGGAGATAACGCCGATGGACGATGACTGCGGGCGGAGAGCGCCACCTCCAGCGCTGGTGTTTTACTCCGATGCCGTGAAGTCCGTTCCATTTCTCTTCTTCTGCTGCTTGTGTGGGAGTTGTGAAGAAGATCATCATACCGCTGTCGCCAGTAGAGGGCATCATTGCGGGCTTCCACGAGTTGAGCTCTGTGGTTTGTCCGCTCATTTTCAAGTGTTTGTTGAAGTTCTTGACTTGCCGCACACTCCTGTCGAAGGGCAAATTTTAACGTTTCAATACGTTCATGGCGGATGGACAACTTCTTTTCGGCGAGTTGTAATTCTAACGTTAGAGCTCCATTAGAGTTCCGCAACTGCTCCAGTTCATCCACAGCAGCATTCAAACGATCCATTAGTAATTCATGCGCTTGCACCACATTATCATCATCATGATGATTATTATTACTATTACTATTATTATTACTATTAATGCCGTTATTCATACGGTGACTACACGGTTTATCATCTTGAAGTGTGATTGATACACCATTCTGCGTCTGTGCATCTCCCATGGAGGATGTGACATTTACAAGGATTTGATTACATGAACTCTGAAAGGAGGATGCTTCCGTCACTGGTTCTACTCCAGTAGTGGTATTATTATTATTATTATTATTATTATTATTATTATTATTAGTAGTAGTAGTAGTAGTAATAGTAGTAGTATCATTAGCAGTGTTTGTTGTTGTTGTACATTCTTTGGATTGTATGTGTTTATTGTCAGCGTTGTTGTTGTGGTTATTATTATTATTATTATTATTATTATGATGAACCGTTGTAGACTGTGGTGAAGTCATTCCACACAACTTCTGACTGGCACGACGGCTTGGCAAAGAGACTTCTTCATTATATTGTTCCAACATCAGACGAATACCACGCAGTTGTTCCATATAGGAAGAGAGTTGTCGTGGTAAAAGTCCCTCTCCATCTCGTGCCTCTTGCAGAAGTGCACGATAATGATCGGCACAACGTCGCTGGGCATACACCTCCCGCATCACTTTTGTAAATTCCTCCTCCCAGACGGTACTTTCCTCCTGAAGAATTTGGACTAACGCGGTCTGTGCGGTGTATTGTGTACGAAGTGTATCTATTCTACTTTCCGCATCTCGCAAGGCATCCCGTAGACGTTCCACCTCAGCTCTAAGATCACTTAAAGAAAGTTGTTCACGAGCCTCTTGATGAAGAAGTACTTCTACACTTTCATCATCTGTAGCCGTTTCCCAAACTGAACGAGATCCAGTTTCATCTTGTGTAGGGGATGCCAATCCTTGTGTGTTTATTAACCCCGCTTCTGCGGATCCTATGATTTCTCTTGTTCTTGTTCTTGTTCTTGTTGTTGTTGTTGTTGGTGGTGGTAGTAGTAGTGATGATGCTTGTGGAGATGAGATAGATGTTAACGACTTGGGTGATAATGATGAGGCTAGTAGTAGACTACTTTTATTATGATTACCAAGACCCCGTTCCTTTAACATTCGTCTTAATTTTCGTATCTCCAGTTTAGCAATATCTAACATACTTTTAAGTTCTTCCATCGTGAGTTGTCGATTCACAACGGCCCGATTGCAGACATTTTGTGCACGTGCACCAAATCGTAAAGAGGAGATGGTTTCATGTGCATTTAACTGTGATGGACTACAACAGACAACAAGAGCCGTGCGGGAGTTCCCACCTAATGAGTCTTTCAATATACGTGTAAGTTTACTATCACGATAGGGGATGTGGGAGTGCCGCTCTGCGAGGGATACAATCACGTGCCCAAGTGTTGTAAGTGATTTATTAATACGTTTGGCCTCTTCCAACTGCAATCCATCGGCTTGTGTGCGGGAGACCTTCTCACAGCCGGCGAGATCGACCAGAAATAGTTTTCCCACGCGGGCCTCGTGTTGCGTGTGGCTCGTACTCCGCACGGTGATGCTCACCACGCAGTGACTTCGACTGCTCGCGTCGTTGTACGCCGTGCCGCTGGTGACTCGCCGGCGCAGTGCCGCCCGCAGGAGTTGAAGGGCCTCGTCGGGGTGTGAAATGTACGGCTGGGCGCAGTTCGCAACGTAGAAGCCGGTGGGATCCTCCCGGACGTGGCGGATTTCACCCGTGAGAAGATCCCGCACCTGCTCCATATATACTTCTACACACATGAGGCGGATTTCAAACTCCACACCCGCATCGGAAGTGCGAATGGAATGAAAAATATGCCGCAATGCTCTAGGGGCAATACCGCTATGAAGTGGATTCGTTTTATTATGAAGTATCGGTGGAACGGATGGACCACCTGTTAAATGTGAAGTACTATTTAAATTCGTGTTTGTAGTAGTAGTAGTAATAGTATTATTATTACTACCGCTATTGCTACTGCTACTGCTGCCAAGCGTGTTATTAGGACCAAACATGGTATGTGTCTTTCCACTTCCAGTTTGTCCATACACCAGAATCGTGCCATTGTATCCATTCATCACATCATCTACAATAGGCGAAGCGACATCATTGTATAATTCCTCTTGTGTGGTATCAGGTCCATACACACAAGAAAAGGAATAACGAGAATAATCATATGATAGACTAGCAGAACCACTAAGAGAACCCGATTCATCTGTTAATCCTCCACGTGGACTTGAGGCTTGTTGATATCCAACAGCCACACCTCGTGGTGTTTGAAGGGTTTTGCAAATAACATGTTTAGATCCATCTAAATCCACACAAAAGGGACTATGCCGTTCGGAAGCATTAGGTGGACGAAATCGACACGATACACGAATATTATCTACTGATATACGAGCGGTCTTCATTACCTAATTCTTTATATATATATATATATATATATATATATATATATATATATATA